ATTGAGAGGTTAACCTTAGTTGTACAATACCAACGTACCAGAGATCAAATTTTTGATACAAACATAGCCTACAATGATGATTATGAAGATTTTCAGGATTGAAATGCTGAGTTAGGTTGTACAATACTGGGAGGAATAAACCACCATATTGTATGAGAGCCACATGTAGAACAGTCAGAACAAACCAAGGTCTTGATGACTTCTTAATGAATTTTACCTTATCCTGCACAAATAATAGCAACATAGACACATATATGAAATGAGCTTTGGAATTGCAGTTACAACTATAATTTTAAATTCAATTTTCTCTATGAAATTTAGATTCAATCAGAATTTGAACCTTATCTTCTGACAGTACAATCTGAAATCTAAAATAAGTCGGAATTAGTCTGTTTATTAGTTAGAACGAACAGAGAATGGTAAACATATATCTTGATCATATTTTCATGCAAGAAACCACATTTATTACAGCACCCAAACCAGTAAAGACATTGGTTTCCTGTCCAAGCAGATGGAGACCAAAACACAAGTTACTGACGCCATCAAAGTGGTTTCCGCTCCAGACATTAAATACCCTCCATAAAATTTCAACTTTGTCTGTACTCTTTGGACTAAACATAATTCTTCCAGGTAGCCAATACCTGCTTATATTTTCTGCCTATAAGTAGCTTCCACTCTGCACTTTTAAACTCTCATAACAAAAGCTACATTTGAGATTGTTGAGATCTTATCAGTATTAAAACTAAAACATCCTCTGTATTTATCAGAGGGTAATGGGCAAGCCAAAATGGATTCAGGGTAGACATTAAAATGTTTGCAATAATTTAAGGTGAGTTAATCAATTTAGTATAGGGACCTTGTTATCTTTAACATATTATTCATAATAATGATGAATTAGGTTATGCCCCATATAATCTTGTAATTTCAAAACTTTCTACCACCTCCCACCACACATGAGTGCAAAAGCAAAAGCAAAGAAATAGACCGGAAACTAAAATAACTGTTATAATTTCAATGAATTTGAAAGCTTTACACTTACCTTATATCATCAAGATGTTATTCCTCTTAACTTAAGATCTTATGAATACTCAATAAATAACAAAATACTAGAAAATCTCATTCAAATTTCAAAAATCTCCTTTTGTATCTCAAGCTTTGTCTCTGTTGACCTTTACAAAAAGCTCTTATTAATTCAAACATACAGGGAGAAAAAAATGTAACAGTTTGACCATATTGTTTTCAAATGTTCAAAGGTGTATATTTAGAGAAAATTGGCTACATGGGCAGTACATAATGACAAGGACCCTGCCAAATCAGTGTGCATGGTTGGAGTCATAACCATGACTGAATTCAAATGTTAAGTGCATTTTAACGATTTAATCTGGTTCAATTTCCTTACCAAAGACAAGACTGAAGCTAATACGGAAAATTGCAACAATAATTGTGTGACATCATTACAGGATGAAACATGTAAAAATGACAAAATGTCTGATAATCCCACATACAAAAACATTTTAGTTACGCAAATAGATATTTGAAAGTGAAAATAACTGATATCGATCCCCTTGCCAAGAAAGAACAAGAGTGAAAAGGGAAGATGAGGACAATGTACAAAGACTGGACAAATCAAGGAAGACATGTCCCTTTAACTTACATTGAATGTCATGTAAAACATGTCACATCCAAAACATATCAAAACAGCTGAAAGCACCTCCCCTTGTGAATAAGACTCAACCTCCACTAAAAAACATTCTAGTCACCTAGAATAATTTCTGAAATGTTCAGAACAAAAAAACAAATTAATGTCACAGAGCATTCATAAATTCACACCTGGCTACAAACTGAGACAAAGAAAGCAAAAACACAAATATGTGACATGCCAATAACAATGCATAGAGGCAAAACAAAACTGGCTTTGAAAAAAACATGTACTGTAAACTTTACATTAAAATGGTAGCCATTTTGAAAATTGTATATTTTGAAAACTGTATATGTATGTAAGTATGACAATCTCTATACCCATTGTAGGAAAGGAAAGAAGTATCAGGTACAGGGATTAGGGAGCTAAGTTAATCTGCCTGAAAAACAGTAGGGGTCTCTAGAAAGCATTATGGTTGATCAAAGTCTCTCTTGATGGACTAAAAGTCTCTATTCCCAGGGATAGTAAAGACTGTGCATTCCACAATGAGTTCATGGAACATTCAGGAAGCATACATTAAAAGTAAATCTGTCCCAAGAGATGTAGACCCTGTGACAAGGATACATTATGGTCCATCAAAAAATTAACCCTAACCCTCAATATCAGTCTTGCTCATTTAATCAATTTCTCTCTGAGATAACTTAAATTATATAATTTACTTGAAATATTTTTTGCATTTTTCTATGACTGAAGAGTACACTTGTTTTTGCATATTCTATTCATTAGAAAATTTGCAATTTTATTTATTGGCAAACTGGTTAGGGGGTATGACCTTTCAGTTATATCACAAAGCATGCAAGTCTAGATAACTGGTATAATTTAATTAAGCTAAAGCTAGTTTTAATTGAACTTTTCCTTGAATGGATTAATTTCTAATTTAAATCAACATCCTCTTATGATAATTTCATCTGCCCACATGGTGATACTATTCACATCATTCCTAGGGTGCTTCATTAAATTTAAAAGCCTCAAAATGTTAAAATTTTAATACAGTCCAGTTGTTCATTGTCTTTCTGAAATGAACATTGAAATACTATTGATGAGCTAATATGCCAGTTGTAGTAAAATTCTCTGGACAGTGTACAAGTATTTATGCCATATTTTGATCATTTGGAGCAATATATAATTCTAACCATAGTTCAATTTGTTGTTTAAGCAATGGCGATGATATAGTATTCATTTATCAATATTTTGGATTGATTATACCCTGGATCTCAACCATCTACTGTAGATCAAATCAAAACATTGAAAATGGTAGCCTGAAAAATAGAATCTTGAAAGATTCAAGTTAGGTAATCAAAAGTTACAAAGGCAGACAGGGTATTGTGATAGAGCTTGATAGGATTGTCATTAGCAATTGTTTCTGGTCCCTGCATATCATCCCCAGCCACCCATTTAGCAATGTATACATTAACAGGCATGGTAAGATCTAAACCGCTGTCACCATGTCATAAACATGGCCTCCTTTGAAGTATGGCAGCTCCTGACCCCTTGTTATAGTATATCCTAATGATTTCAACCAACTGATATACTTAGTTTGATAAAACATGCATCGTACTCAAATATATTTGTGAAAAATCATTTTAGGGTCAAACTCCAAATGATTGAATACCCTAAAGAATCACTGGCAGTGACTATTACTGTGAATAGGAACACTTCAATTCCGTGCTATTACATGTGATTTTACAGTTTGCACACTCTAATGATAAGAACATAATGATTTAAATGTAAAATAGTTGCTATGGGAGTTTGACTGTAAAATGAATGAAAGCTTTTTATTGGCAGAAAATGTAGATTCATAGTTTTTAGTCTTGCATCAAGACTGTGGTTCATGCCCTCTCTATCTAAACAAAACAACAGTTGTTTGAGTAGATAGTCCAGGGTCTTGAAGCAAGACTAGATGTACTTGGTTTTCTAAAGGCATATTTTGATTAGAGCTATTTTAAAAAGTGATTTTTAATTTAAAGAACCTAGACAATGTTGAGTTCTTGCAAACAGAAATGGAGCAATACTTAATCAAAATAAACTCCAGTATCAGTGTTACACACGATTACTTCTCAGAAAATAACTTTCAATTCTACTACATGAAAACAGATGTTTTCCATAAAGGTAAACCACTTTTAACCCACAGCTCAATTTAGACAAATGTGTATGTAAACCAAAACTTGGGAGCAAGGTGGGCCATCAAGTATTTACTTCTGCAAAACCACACAGTAGACCAATGATAAATGACATATGCTTCTCATTTTAATGATGACATTTTTACAAAAAAGTTCTGGGGTCCTTTCATCAAACATTACTTACTACTCAATATTGCTTAACATTTTATACCACCTTTCCATCTTAGTTTGAAAATGCTCTAAATCTGACTCTTAATTGTGCTGCCATCTTTAAAAAATGAGCCATGTTATTATTTTCTAAATGCTGTAGTACAGATAAAAAGCAAGACATAAGTGAACCTGGAATCTAAAATGATAAAAAAACGCTCTTGAAAGACAATTTTAGCTGATCATTCTGAAGACCCATTGAGAGACTTGAGGCTCGGGGGCCAGTATTGATAAAGAAAGAACAAAATCAAAGTATTAAAAAGGTTACAAAAAATAGAGCCATGTGAAATAAACAAACTGTAGAGCCTTGTTTTCAATCATAACATAGCAGTTATCTGGATAATTTTATCCAGAACATCAAAGAACATTTTGGATAACATAATTATGTACTTACAATGTTCTTTGTAACTTGACATATCTATTACATTATACGGAGTTACATGCACCGTACCAGGACTTGCAAACCCAAGTAAAATGCTCTCACGGTCATAGTTTTTTCTTGAGATATGATAAAAAGAGAGGTAAAAACGAGGAGTTAAGTCTACAGGTCTGAAATTAGCATTCTATTTTTTCAGGTATTAATTTTAGGGAGAAAATGAGTAGAATGTGATTAACTTATATGCTAATATGTTGGAATGGCTGAAAACAGGTATGGAATAGGAACAGGAGTGTTCTATGTGGGAGCTCAGCTATGTTATAATATACAGATCTTATAAGGTGTCAACACCTTTTATGTGGCATTAGGACCCCCCCCCATCCCATTAGCAATTCATGTCCTTTCAGACTGAGTTGAGAGGGAATGGAGGACAACATCTCCAAACATATGATTCAATTGTCTGAAAATCCATTTAGTACCAATGAACATATATTTATGATACATTGACTTAACATTTTTCAGTTTCCAAAGAAAATAATTTAGGTTTGCAGGGCCATCTTTTCTCCTGTAAAGTTAAGTTTTATAAATCTATATTTACCTGGATTTCTTCGAGTAATTGAAGTTTCCTACGCCTGATGTCTTCTAGAAGCTCTTGTTCCTCTAGTGTCAGGTCTACAAATACAAGCAATGACAAACAATGTAATATCAGAGAACGATCTGATAAACAGAGACAATTAATACATTGAGGTAATAATGAAATACAGGAAAATTGAGTACTGTATAACTGTTAACGTAATACATTAAATCAAGACATTAGTAAATCCCATTTTCTGCACTTACCTTTCCAGACAAGATAAAGAAGAATTCCCAGAATAAGTTTTTCCCGAATATCTTGATAATTTTGTTATTTAGTCTCAAAATGTCTTTGTTAGATGCCTATTCAATATTCAAATCAAGGTGAAAATTTGAAGAAAAACATGTGGCAATGGATTAAACCTGCCTCAGACAATACACTGGATGTTTACACAAATCCTTTGTCAGCTGCAAGAAATCCATAATTGCCAAACATTTTCAACAATATGAGTAATGCAGATTTTAAGAGTGCAGACACTCTCAATAATATTGACTGAAAAAATATGATACCCCATAGTAAGAATAATAATTAGTTTCTCCATAATTGTGTCTTCACTTGTTTATCAACCACAAAAAATATTGGCAACAACAAAAGTACATAATTTTTGATTACATATACAACACTTAAAAACTTGATTACTTAAATAATCGAGGTACCTGTAATATTAACCAATGTGACTTCTCTCCATAAGGTGATTTGATGTAAGAACAAGAATCATTACATGAAAAACCTTACCTTTACATTTATTATGATATCCCAAAAGCAAGTATAAGTGAGATTAAACCGAATCTTGATTTCAAAGAAGTAAATGTTTGTGCAAAACAGAATTATTATCCTGTCATTTTTCAGTTAATGGCTTCCTTGACCACTGGTTGATACTCAGATGCACCAGATAGCTTAGCAGGCAGGGGACTTAGCACTCAAAAAATGTCCAGACATTCAAATTTCCTTTTGTAAAACTACAAAATTTACATCAAAATTAATACTTACTTATATGGGCTGAAAAAATATAAGACTTAAGTGATATAATATACCTAAAATTCAGATATGCCATTCTTATTCAAAAGAGATGAATCACAAATAAAAATCACCATGGTTATATTTTCTGCCTGGATAATAGCAGGTCAGAGAGGGAATATCTCATTCAATAAAACTATATGATAATTCCCACTTTTCCATATACTACATGTATGCAATTTGACAAAAACCAGAGAGTTGTGAAGAATAAAATTTGTATTACAAAACACCATGTGTAATAAAAATGAAGAACTCTACAATTTTTAGTTTAAGGGATAATGATAGAATTGAGATTTCATGACACATCTATTGGAGGGGTGGCTTATTGATTTTGTAATATAACTTCTTACCATAGATAGATACAATTCTTCTACCATATCAAGTGTGAATTCTGTAAATGAACTGGAACATTTATGAGTGTTAAACTGCAATGGTCAGAAAAAGGGCAATATGACAATTTTCATTTCCAGAACTCAAGAGAAAAATTGCTGAGATAAATAATGCATTAAATCATATGACTTTAATAGCTTCTTAAAAGATAGCTTCATCTACATTAGTTTAGAACTAAATTCTGCACCTGTGGTATGAATTAAGATCTTTCTGCAGCTCAAACAGATTACAAAATTAATCAAGTTTCAATTATTTCTTCAAGTATTTTCAGGATTTTAATAGCCATATATAACTACCGTAGTTTATAAATAATAAAAAGGTCTCTTAACTTTTCTTAAACGTTATCTTTTCTTGATATTTGAACTTGGACCTTTCATAATGCAGTCTAATTTACTGATGATGTCCCATATTTTTTTCAAACTCTCTGTCTACCTAAACTAAGATGAAAATAAAGAATACAATTATCCAGAGGAGTAGTAAGAGATTATCCTCTATCTCCCCCATGAGATAATAGATATCTACGTTTTATAATAATCTGACAACTTGACTTTGGTAACACAAAGACAGACTTATTTTCTGATACACACAAACAAAACAGTTGGAAGAAATGGAGAGAGAATATTCAAATATGTACATGTAGCACAGCTGAAACCGTATATGTGGGTTTCTTGTATCTACCTTCCAAATACTGATTTACTAATTTATGGCGCCATCTTTCAATCGGAGCATGTACACTTCATCTTTATTACGACTAAACAAAATGACTTCCAAAGTGTATATTTCAATCAAATAATATATTAAAAGTAAAGATATTAATAATCATATCATAACCTACATTCCATAAACATCTGGTTGTTTATACATGGTTTCTGTGGGGTATGTAACATCTGCATTTTTCTCCTTTTTAGCCCTTCATTGATAGTTTATATCATTTCAGTCACATCTACAAATCTTCCTTTGTTCTCGTATGAAGAGTCCAGGCTTTCTTATGATGCTTAAAAAACTCCTTTGATATTTAAGAACTGAAGTATTATGAGGTGTTATTTTCTTATATGATATTGAAATGTCTTAGATTCAATCCTGTCATTTACATTCCAGTTTTTTATTTGCACGTAGAGTAGTGAGAAGATCCTTTATAATGTTACAAATTCACCAAACAAAATAAGATACATCTTATGCCTACTTTTCTTGAATACATGTATTTCTTTTTTTAATCCTATTACATTTACTATGATGAAAGTGAGAGAAATATGTGTAAGACAATTTAGAGTTCTGATTATATGCATGAAATATCATTGTTTGTACAATATTTGGTGCAAACAATCAACTCCTAAATAAGTTTATCTTTTTCTAAATCTGTTATCAAATATTATTTCAAAGCGAGACCTAAAACAACTTAACTGTTCTTAAAACTTAACTGACATAACAGTGCTAATTTCACATTTTGATACCAATCAATGGCAAAATAAAACAAAACTGATATGATGATAGATAAAGACTTGATTATATTTAAGTTTTAAGAAGTAACTTGAAGTAAGTAACTAGAGACAGAATATAAATATATGATTTTAAGACCCTGCGGTTCCTATTATCAGATGTTAAATTAAAAGCAATTTGTTGAGTTGAAATTTATTTAAAAAGCAAGCAATTATGTGCGTTCTTGGCATAAGTGAATGGATATAAATATGGAGAATGAAGCTTCCAAATTGAGGAAATATGCCCAAAGTAACACTTTTGTAGACAAAAATACATCTTGAAGATTTGTCAAGTTTCGAATTGGATGGCAGTGGTGTAGCCCAGACTCACAAGAGAATATGCAGTGAGAAGTAATTAGATGTAACTGGCAGATCAACTTGTCTAGAAGTCAATAACAACTAAAGTTGGCCAAAAGTACAAAAATATGAAAATTGAATCTCTCAAGAAACAAACTTCAAATTACAAAATATTATTAAAACCTGAGCTGTACAAATGCTCCTGTATGTCTTTAATTATACATCTGAGATACTTTTAAGCAATTGCGCATTTATATCATGGTAAGCCATGTCTTCTCTATCTTTGTCAGTATTAGTATTAGAATGGTGTAAATCTGGAGGTTTTCTTTTTTGTCGTTTCGTTTGTGTAAATTTTTTAGACCTGATAGGGGGAATGATTTATCTTTGAACTGAAAGTAGCACATATGCTTATGAGCTATTTGGACAACTAAAACTGCAAAATCTGTCCTGATTGTCATTTTATGATACTGTAGACATTTCACTGTTCATAATAGATACATGCATATTGCATACGCTATAGTCATTTTCTATCAGTTCTAGTGTAAAATATCAACAAAATGTACATTATTCAGTATTCACTTACTTTTCTGTCTTTATTTGGAGGAGTATCAAACCTTGTCAAACGAATTTCACTTCTTGCGCATTTGCATTTATGACAATAGTGAAAGTAAACAATTCTTAAAAAATGAAGGGATATTTGTATATGGATTAATCATGAGATTTGGAGTAATGGTGTTAAAAGTGGTGAGTGGATATTTGAGTTATTTATGACAATTGTGCGATAATTAGAATCATGCGCTAATTAGGACAATTTTTCCTTAAGATGAACTTTAAAATTAGTCTAAATAACAATAAAAATAAGAATTGGTTTTTCAAAATAAATAGAGAGTTTCTTCTGAAACATATTCACCTATAGACACCTCTTATCTCAACGATAAAATGCACAGATAAAGCAAAAGTTTTGCTAATACGGGCAAAATTATCTCTCCAATAGGGGAAATGGTCCTATCACCGCACGGGTACTCTGGAAAACTACTGACGATTTCAAATATGATAACTTCAATTTACTTTGAGAATATGAGATGAAAGATCAACCTTTCTTCTAAAATTCAATAGTGTTTGACATTTCTCAATCTCCGAACGCTAACACTTTAAGACCCCTTAGACTCGCATGTGCAGTGGTCCTAATTATCGCACAGTCGTCCTAATTATCGCACAGTTGTGTTTCAGATGTCATTTCACGATACTGTATACATTTCTCTGTTTATAACAGATATATACATATGCTATAATCATTTTTCTATCAGTTTTAGTGTAAAATATCAACAAAATATACATCACACACTTACTTTTCTGTCTTTATTTGGAGGTGGGTCAAACTATGTCAGATGAATTTCACTTTTTGCGCAATAGCATACATGACAATAGCGGAAGTAAACAATTCTTAAAAAATGAAGAGATATTTCTAAATATATGAATAAATCATGAAGATTGGGAGTAATGGTGTTGAACTGTTTTTCGTAACACTGGTTTAAAAGATGGTGGGTGTATATTTTAGCTATTTAGGACAATCGTGCGATAATTAGGACCGTGCGATAATTAGGACCACTTCCCCTACTGTTAAATCTTCATGCTTCCACCATCTGCTTTTCAGAACTTTTTTCATTCAATGGAACTTGTGTTAAACACATATTCCCATGGAACGAAAAAGGACTAGAAAAAACAACACACATGAACATATAGGATTGTAAATTTAAACCAATCAGATTATTTCATATTTCATGTGCATGATTTATTCACTCCTGAGCACTTATCATAAAAATCAAACCACAATTGATGGAGAATCCCCCTACTTCAGTAATCGAAATTTGTATTTAAATTTATGAGGAATATACCAATACGCGATAACGTTTAGTTTTAGTTCAGATTAGTTACCTCCCGTTTAAAGAGCTCTCATGTATGGTACAACTTCGTCTACATCCGGGTTCTTTCCCATTGGATTAACCAGGGGTGCTATTTTCAATGCCGCACTGCGACTCTTTTTAACATTTATGTAGAGTTGCATTTGCACAAATGATAGGTATGTATGTAATTAAGATATAAAACAAGGCTTTTTGAACTGTAATCCCCAAATCCGAAGAAATCTGTAGTTGAAAATGCCGTCCAATACCAGTGACTTCACTGATTTCCCAGAAATTGCTCAGACTTCATCGAAGATCGAAAAAATATAAATAATGTTACTTTGAATCTCTGATTATCTTTCTGATTATTCAATAAATTGGATCATATAGGCCCCGGCCTAACTATACTTGAGGGCTAATGGAAGATCAGAAGCTGAGAAACGTTCAGAGTATTCGACTCGTTCAGCGGGCCAATGAAAATTTGTCCCTTCCAAAGCGATGCATCATGGGAGATATTTATGTAAATTACCACCTGAACTCTTATCGCTAATAGGAGTATTATCATGCATACTCTGGTATGAAAAACCCCCATGAATGTTTTTCAAATCAACCGCACAACAACTTGTGTATTGAAATCTGGGGGTTGTGAAATCATGGGCTTTCAAGAGATGTTGTCAAAAAGCTAAATTTTATCTAAATAACCTCTAACCCAGCTAATTTTCAACTGTAAGATTTCAATACACAAAAGGTTGCAAGGGTCACGGGTGATTTGAAAAATGGGGGTGGTAAATGAGGGTAAATATGAAACTACATACAAGGAAATACAGGTGAATGCATTTTACAAGAGATCTTTCTAGACAGTATAAGATATTTATGGTATCTCAAATCACTGATGTCTTGGAGTATTGACAAAAAGTCAACTTCTATTTTATTTTCCTTGACCAAATATTTTCAGAAAAGAGGAAGTGGAAATACCTGAAACACTGAAGCCTCCTCCTTCCTGATTCTGCATATTTGCTCGATACGATGCTGTCGGTGTAAATTCAAAACGTCTTTTGGACCATTATATGCCGGAAGGGGACCAGGATTTGGATTAAATCGTCAAAAATATAAGATAATATTTGTGAATTTTATTTTACAAAATATCGGTGTCGCAAACAAAAACTTAGATGCTATTCTTGAGGTCATGGTCAATACATTGATATCGTGTTTAAAATATCTCTAAATATCAATATATAACTACAATTATACATAAAATAAAATTATGTAATAAAAAATTGTAAATCTACTTAACTAAGACAAAGTTTATATAAATATTCTAAAAACTGGATTAAATTGGAATGAGACACCAATGACCCACTGAGCATGCGCAATCGTAAAAATAAAGCGAAATTAAACATTTGTAAACACTGGCACGTGTTGTTGTTTATCATTCATGATATTATTTCATTTGTGTAAAGAATTGAATCATATTATAATGTAATTGCATTGCTTACCTGAAGATAAACAAGAACACTATTTACCACCAATGGGCATAGCTTACTCAAGTCTCTGGCCAATTCTTCACGATACAGTGGCCTTAGAAGAAGGCATTATTAGCTAGGATCTAGGGACAATTTATATTGGCGAGGCACTTCATTTTTAGTTTTACCATAGTTGAAAAATATATTAAGTGTGACATTTCAAATTTAGCCAATTTAAAGTCAAGGGTTCACAATTTATTAGAAAGTCTATCATCTGTGACCCCATAGATTCGATTGTTCAAAACAATGTTTTTGTAATGGGTTTGTAAAAATTATGACTGATGGGATTTGCTACGCCTTGGAGTTGCATTTATCTAGTTATCCAATCAATGTAAGAATATAATCTGGACTGTAAATGAATAAACGCAGGAGCTCACGTGTCTTGAACTCATGACCTCATGGTTATGGCATCAGTGCCTAGCCCAGCATGCTCATCTCTGAGTGTTTTATATGTCTCTGTGTGGAGTTAGCTGTTGACTGGATGTGAACCAGTAAGTGAGTAAAGGAAAATATAACACAACAACAGAATAACAAAAGTTTATAATAATAGAATAGATAATATTATTTATTTCTTATTTACATAAATAGTTTTACCTTACAATTTACGAAAAACTTGAACATTTAATTGATATGAAATGATGATACAACAAATTGAAGAAATACATGGACGATTTAACACTACTGTTACATGGAATACAAGATACAGTCAAGTACACTTCCCAAAGAAAACTGACGGATCGGACTGATTAATGGAAATATGTGACTGCATTTATGAGACTTTTAACATTAAATTGTATACAATAAGAACAAATGATTTTCCCCCAGATTTTCCTAAGCATTAACATGTACAAGTACTGCATAGTAAAATGGGCAGCCACTCCCATTTGGGTAGCTAGCCACTCCCATTTCCAATGTGCCATACAACTGTCTTTTGTCTCTTGTGACAATTTGATGCCATTACACACCACAACCTGGTATAGGTGGTGAGTTAGTGGTGAGGGGGGGGGGGTCAAGAGACTTGAAGCAAGACTAAAATAGTAATTAATACCCGATCACTTATAAAGTGTCTACGAAAATGACCTCATATCTGTCAATAATGAAAACAAATATCAATTTGTTCACTTAGGTGAAAAATTCTATTTTTAAAACTAAAACTGAAAATATACTTGTGAAAAAGAAAGATCCTTCAAACCAGGCAGGCAATATGAAGCAAACATTAATTTTGTCAAGAACTTGTCCAAATTAAACTTTATTATTAGGATCTGATCTTGAAATAAATGCACATGAAGATAACATAATTTTAGATCCTCAACAAATTGTGTCCTTCAAATAGCAGTTTTGTATTGTTGGTAAGAAGAAACATGTTCTTATGTCATATCTCTAGATTCAACAAGTAATTTTCTCTCAAAACGATTAACAAGAAAAACATTTGTAAAAGACTATATTTTCAGAGAGTCTTCAAATTTTTCAGCAAATCTTTTCTGATATGTATCTTGGAATAGAATGAATTGATATGACAGGTGTAGGTCTACAAAAATACGTAGTTAATAAATCTTCAATTACTAGTTTCTTTTTTCAAATCCCTTAAGTTGATTGCTGCTAATTGTTCTATTTTAGAAACTAATACACTACACACACAGGGATGGTAACATCAACAGAATGTCTTTTATCTTGAGTATATTCATACTTACAGGATCTGTGCGCAACATTTTCACATCTTGGGACAATCACTAAATAGATATTCTCACAACCAACTACAAATGTTTTCAAGGAAAAAATACATATTATTATGCAAAAAGTTTGGAATATGATGCACAAAACTCAGAATTTGTTTTGATTACATGAATCGATGCATCCATTTGTTGTTAAAAGTAACACTGATGTACTAGATGCAGCAACATGTCACTTTGGAATAACCATTAATATGTTCTTCAGGTTAGTTATACCATTAATATAGCTGCAGTCATATATATCAATATACCACTTTATACATTTAATGATATGCTAAAGGTAAAGATTAAAATTACCATGCTGGTAAAGATTAAAAGGTGGATTGGATCGAGTGGATTGGATTCATGTACATATATATATATAACTTTTATTGACATATTGTATCATAACATGATTACATTAGTCATGTAAAAGGTGGATTGGATCGAGAATCTTCAAAATATGGAGTTTCCTTAAAAAATTATATTGATCTCCCTCTCGGAAGATTGGTGCTTAATCCTCGCTTCCACAATGTTAGATAATAGATGCAATATTAATTTTGCTTGGGTGGGCTAGAAGGGTGACCTGGTACCTGCTTTCTGATACACAATCTTCATGATTCTTGATGAATTCATTTCAAGGGTAATTTTAGACATTTCATAAATCATAAGGCAGACTGGTTTGAAGATCCATATCATCTGTTTTCAGTCCTAACAGAACATAGCAGAAATGTTTTGGGAACTTCCACACATCAATTTGAATGACAGTTTTTATCTACAGATCTATGTTTATTATGTCTTATAAACGTTGATATACAAGGGAAAGCAGCTAGTCTAGTTAAATACTTTAGAGCATACATCAACTTATTGCAGTATGTATTTGTGGTTGCTTTGTTCTTATTCCTCAAAGGGACCCAAGTGGTCACAATATACTTGTCGCAAATCCCTTAAAGGGAGATCAACAGAAAAAAATCTTAAAGATATTGCATATTTTAAAGATTCCCGATCCAATCCACCTTTTACATGAATCCAATCAACTTGATCTAATCCACCTTTTAATCTTTCCCATGCCAAATCTTAATGATGTCCACTGCAATATTTCACATAATTACTTAAAAATCAAACAATAACATTAACTGCTTCGTAGTTACAACAATAATTGTACATCTGTTACCATGGTTACTAATATAAGAATGGAGATTGCTGGTAACTATGGTTACTATAGCTATATTATAGTATGTTGCTATAATTGCTTTGGTAATATGTACATCCTTAATGCATATCACAACCAAACGCAGGGCTACATGATCCAAAATAACTTCTTTCAGTAAGGAACTCTGGTACCCTGCTTTTGGAAGATGAAATATTGTTTAGCAATGTGATTGTTCATGCATTTGCATACTATCTATTGGATACTAAAATAACTGCTTTCTTATAATATATTTACATGTATATACTGGTGTAAGTTGCACTGCATTCGTTGAGGTAATACATTGATTGACACTAAGTAACTGGTTTCATTTTTTTGATTAAGATAAACTGCTATGAATTTCATATAAGTATGGAGTTTGATCAAAATACTGATTCCCATCAAAAAAATTAATCGCAAAACAAAACAAAACTGAGATATATTTACGATTTTTTGATAGACATCAAAATTTTGACCTGATACATATGAATCTAACACTGATCTATTTTTAGTTATTATAGCCACAAGATGATGATGTCGCTGGAAACTGTAATTCTGCACATCGTAAATACTATGTGACTGGCATGTCCTCTTCATAACGTTGTCATCGACTAAAAGGGAGGTATAATTATGATAGACGTAAACTGAAAACTAAACTAAACTGCCTCTATGCCTCTGTTGTAAGAAATCATCAAAGCAAATGATCATGTGATGTCTGACTTTCACATTGATCACCCACGAAGTGTTTCAACACTGCACCACTGCTCCCTTGGCTAATGTCTAGGACCTCATAATAATTATCAAGCAATCAGTCAAATAGATCATATAGGGACTGTTTGTCAGCCAGATATCATATGATTATCATCTTATATAACACTATCAGCAGCCCAAAGTATCTTGTGCCCATACTGTGTTCGCCATGAGACACCACATGTTAACTTTGTAAAGGTATCATAGTAACTGCCATTGCATTCACTGTAAGTTGCCATAGTTACTGCCAAACCTGAAAAAGAATAAATACAATTTTCAAAAAAATTTAGAATTTCAGTTAAGTTTAGAAACATTTTGACATCAACATTAATGCACTGATAGAAATGTAGCATGTGTCAACCATACACTTTATTGATATATGTAAGCATTGTTTTGAGATTGAGCAATACCATTGTCACATTCACAAGTTCAGTCAGGGTAATGCTTATTGCTTACTTGGCAACAACTGGTATAGGCAGTCTTAGATGTAGTCTAAATTTAATTATAAAACATTAATTTTACACCTTACAATGAGATGAGCCTCATTGGCGTCTAGCACATTATGAGCATTATATGATATTACATTAAATACACAATATATAATTAAACAAATTGAATGAATTTAAATATGATACGCAAGAAAAAATAGAGAGTTAATTTATCATCATAGAATTGTAACAAAATACTTGATTCTATGATATAGGCAAATGCATAGTCTTAGATGTTATTCTGATTTTTGCCAAAGACATCAGTATATTGCTTCACGATTTCAGTCTACAAGCTTGTTCACTCTTTTTCATTTTATTTCACTTATGTTTCACTTAATCGTGTTCACCAAGATGGTATTATTTCTTAGTAGCCTGTTGATACTCTTAACTCAGGAAAATATCAACTCCATCGCTTTCATCTTTGAACATCATTTCTTTCTAATCAATCTACATTAAGGATATCAGAATCATCACAAGCTTAATTTGTCCTAATATTAATGCCTTTCTTTCACTGATAAATGCTTGCAGTCACGATGTAACCGTGATTCAATTCATATTTTGCGGTAATTGGATGAAGTGCAATCTTTGCTAAAGATCTGCTAAAGCTAAATATGTCAATGTTGAGCTTTGGATAAAATGATAGACTGACCGATGATCAACAATTAACAGTTTGAGTTTGTTA